CCACCCACCCATCTATCCATCCATTCATCCACCTATCCATCATCCACCCAACCATTCATCCATCCATCCATCCATCCATTCATCATCCATTCATCCACCCATCTGTCCATCCAGCTACCCATCCATCCATCCATCCATTCATCATCCATTCATCCACCCATCTGTCCGTCCATTGCTTATTTTTACTGGTTTAAACAAATGACAAGATAGCGATCCATCCACCCATCCATTCCCCCATTCATTCATACACCCATCCATCCATCCACCCACCCATCCATCCATTGCTTATTTTTACAGGTTTAAACTAATGACACTACAGAGATCCATCCATCCATCTATCCATCCACCCACCCACCCACCCACCCATCCATCCACCCACCCACCCACCCATCTATCCATCCATTCATCCACCTATCCATCATCCACTCAACCATTCATCCATCCATCCATTCATCATCCATTCATCCACCCATCTGTCCATCCAGCTACCCACCCACCCATCCATCCATCCATCAATTGCAAATTTTTACAGGTTTAAAAAAATGACACGATAGAGATCCATCCATTCATCCACACATCCATTCATCCACCCATCCATCTGTCCATCCATCCACCCACCCACCCATCTATCCACCCATCCATCCATCCATTGCTTATTTTTACAGGTTTAAACAAATGACACGATAGAGATCCATCCATTCATCCACACATCCATTCATCCACCCATCCATCTGTCCATCCATCCACCCATTCATCCATTCACCCACCCACCCACCCACCCATCCATTGCAGGTTTAAACGAATTACATCAAATTGATTGTCAGATATGTTTCTCCTTTGGCACAAAAATAATCAAGTTTTTGTTTTTAATTATTTAAAATGTTATTACTATATTTTATCTGTAGTCTCTGGTTGCCTGTGTTGTCTAATAAAAACATGTTTGTGTGCTGAGTTGGACATTTTCTCTTGCAGATAAACCTCACAACCCCATGGTTAACGCAGGCGCCATCGTCTGCACCTCCCTCATCAAGGTAAGCTGGGATTAAATTCACGATAAAATGTTTAAAAATTGTTCAGGAGAAAATATGTTTAAAAAATTAAAAATGATACAGCTTAATCTTTTTAAAATGCACAATTCTGATCATTACTTTTTTTTTGTTTGTTTTGTTTTTGTATCAGAGCTGGTTGAACTTCTGGTTTTATTAATTTAGCAGCCGAGTTTTACATTTCTGATTACAGCAGGAAACTAAAACATGTGGAGTTAAAAGATAAAACCAGTGGTGGGCTAATTCGTTCGCAGCTAATAGTGAAACGCACTTTTCGTTTAGCAGATTAGCATTTTCGTTAACTTTGGAAAATATTTGCGAAATTAGCTTCCGCTAAATTAGATTTTGCCAACTTTAAGTCCTCTAACAAAAAAAACCACAAGCATGCTATTGGCTCGTGTGACGCAGACTGACAGTCGACTCTTAGTAGTTAGCGGTTGAGCGTTAGCTTCCGCTAATTGAGTGACAGTGTATGGAGAGTGTATGGTAACCATGGATAGATGGATGAATGAATGAATGACTGAATGAAAATGGGTTAGAGAAGCTAACTTTTTGGTTAGCTGTGCCCAACACTGGATAAAACTATAATCATCTGCAGATTAAACAAGATTACAGAATCATGCTAAAAGGGGATTTAGGCTGAAAGCAACATCACTCAGTTATATCACACACACACACACAAACACAAACACACACACACGTTTGTCTTTCGATCTTTACAGGGACTTTGCATCGACATCCATTCATTTTTCATTAATTTCCATAGTCTAACCCAGACCGTTATCCTAAACCTAACCATTCCCAGTACATACCTAACCCATCCTCAATTCACACCTTAGTCCTAAACTTAATCCTAACCCACCAACGACACTTGAACCATATGGGGACCTGACTTTAGTCCCCACAAAGAGGAGTTGGTCCTCGCAATGTAGTGTATGTTGAAAAATGGGCTTCACAAAGTAACATAAACAAGCACACACACACACACTTTTAATCATGCATCTGTTTGGCCACCTGAGTCCACCTTCACCCTCTCAATCAGCAGGTTTCTCTCCTCACATTAGTACATGGCGCCCCCTGCTGGTCCAAACCTCTGCTGATAAAATGGTCATTTTCCTCACACTTTATAAATCATAGTAAAGAGTTTTATTAAGAGGACACACAGAAACTTTAGCTAAGTGTTTCTGAATGGATTCATTGGTGAGGAGAAACATCATCCTCCTGATCTCAGCGAGGTTTTTATTCAAACTGGTTCAGAGACGCCAGACTCCGGTTTTATGTTGTTTTTGCTGTTGCATATTTTCCAGCTGTAGGATCTTTGGAAAACAATCACCAACAACAATGAGTCAGTCACGTTGGTAAATTTTCATCTTTACTTTTTATTTGTATTTTTTTTAGATTTCTGATAAATGTTAACCTCCGTGTAATTGTTTACTAATTAAATGTTGCTTTTCACATTTTCTCAAATTAGAAATAGTCCTGATCTGTATAACCAGCAACCCTTTGTTTAGTTTTTGTTCTTATCATCAGTGTAAAACTTTATTATTAACCGCTTGTTACGAACGACGTTATCTTCGTTGCCTATAACCTTTTCACATTCTGTCAGTTTTATTGTGAAATATAAATAACCTGCAGAAAATAGCCATTTAACTTCTCGTTCTCTGAGTTTTGTACCAGTTTTATTCCCCCTCCTTCCTGTATTCTGAATATCATTCTCACTCGGTGACCTTTGACCTGAGTTTCATGCGTATACATCTATTTATGTGATATATGTATATTTATATAACATCTAAAAAAAATCTGACCTTGCAAGTAAAATACCAATTAAAAATCTCCTGCCGTCGAGTGTGGTTCTTTTGGGTAAACATCGTGAGTGAGAGAGATGTTCTCCGACAGATGGAGAGAACGTGAGCAACTCTTGCTGATGATTGCCAGATTTATCTACCCCTTAAACCAAATAATAATTCTTGCTCCATGCACCCTTTATTAAAATGTCTAGATGACATCAAGGCTTGGATGGATCCAATTTTTTTTTTAAGCTTTAAAGATGAGACAACTGAAGTTATTGTGTTCAGCGCTAGCTCTATTGCCTTCATCACAACCTGATTAGACCGTTGTAATTGTCCTTTTTCACGTCTCCAGCTCGTCCAAAATGCTGCTGCTCATCTCTTAACAGGAACTCGTAGATTTGAACATATTTGGCCAGTCTTATCTTCCCGTCACTGGCTCTCGGTGTGCAACAGAATAGATTTTAGAATGTTCCCGCTGACTTAGAAATGTCTACCATATTTTCCGGGCTATACGTCGCTCCGGCTTATAGGTCGCATCTATCAAAAAATGCATCGTGAAGCGGAAAAAAACAATATATAAGTCGCTTCGGAGTATAAGTCACATTTATTTAGACGTGTATTTCACAAAAAAAAACAGACATTTAATCTGAAATAACAACAACACACCGGAGCTGACTGACCATTGAGATCGCCGGGACATTTCTCGGTGACCTGGCCCGCTCGGTGGTCGCCGAGGGACTGGACTAAAGGCTCGGTTTGTGTCGCGCTTTATTATTTTCAGTAAACAAGCCGCTCTTGCCCGGTCTCACTCAATGTCTCAGTGAAGCTGCAATGTAGCAACAGGGAAAGACAGACCCCCTCCCCCCTTCCTTTTCTGAGTCTGTGTCTGTCACAGCAGAGACATACAGGTTGCACGCCCGCCCTCGTGGACTCGCGCTCCCGACGGTTATATGTTCGTGCGCGACATGCACACACAGAACAATGCCTGGGATCCTGAACTGGTTTAATTAACGTAACAAGCCAACGAGTCCGGCAGGCAAGTTACCATGCTTGTGTCGCTTCTGAGCAACTCCGCCAACTCCGGAGGAAGATTGGGGGGGCATGAACATTTAACACGTCAGTCAAAAATTGTGTCATGAATAGGGAGAAAAAAAAACTTATATAAGTCGTTTCGGACTATACTTCGCAGGATTGGACAAACTATGGAGAAAAAAAAGAGTGACTTATAGTCCAAAAAATACGGTAAATGGCCATGCACCCTCATACATGTATATTCCTTTTCTGGGCACGGAGATAATCTGATCAGCTGCTTCTGGTTGTCATGAAAACTACCGGTAGTTTGAAGCTCAGAGATCGGGCTTTTTCAGTCATAGCTTCCAGTCTTTGGAAAAATCCC